CAGTTGTAAGGTGAGTTTTCCTCACTATGCTCAAGGGTATAAGGCATCAAGGCCGGCCCTTTTTGATTGTGACTCTGATATGTTATGCTAGTATGAGCTGTTAGATTAGCATCCTGGTAGAGAGGATGGTATGATGTTGTTATGATCGGTAGATCAGTATCCTGGTAAATAGGATGATGTTATGCTAGTATGATCAGTTAGATAGGTTTGTATGTCTATAGACTGTTATGTGATTATCAGATATATATGTGCACATGTTGATTGGTGATTGAGGCTCCTCTGCTTTGTGTGAGAGCCAACAGACCTGGGCATTCCAACCCGATGGTTGTGGGCCGTGAGTATTCCATCTCGAGGATGATTGGACTCGTAGTATGAGGGAATTCCAACCCGATGGTTGTGGGCCTGGGGTATTCCATCCCAAGGATGACTGGACCTATAGTATGAGTGGCATTCCAACCCGATGGTTGAGGGTCTGGGGTATTCCAACCCGATGGTTGATTGGACCCATATATGTTGTTTATGATTATATGTGTATTGTCGCGTGTATGGGTATTTTGGGGGAACTCACTAAGCTTCCGGCTTACAGTTTCAGTTTTGGTTTCAGGTACCTCAGATGATCGCGGGAAGGCAAAGGTGTGATCGTACAACTACTCACATTTTATGACTATGTTTCTGGGATACTATGATATGGAACTATTTTGAAAATAAATTTGTAATAACTATTGGTTTTTAAATGTTTTAAAAAGTTTAAATTTGGCTTGATTTTTTTATGGATGTTACACCAAAACCCATTATGGGTCTAAATTCAAGAAGGCCCAAAGCCTAATAATGCCCCAAGGTCAAAACACTATTGGACCAAGAAGCCCAAACCCTAAAAGTCCAAATATGGCCCAAAACGCGAAAGTCAACAAATGTCAAGCTTCTGAGTACGCCTGGCGTACTCGGACTTACGCCCAACGTACTCCCTCCGGGGCCAGTATGTGCAACGTACGAGCTGGGTATGCCCATCGTACTCCACAAACAACCAACCCTTCCATTAAGCACATAATCAGTTAAGCCATTAAGCCAAACTCTTAGATCTGATCCTAAAAGGTGTCTTAACACGTAAAGTTGGCAACTTTACACTCTTTCATGACTTAATGGGGCCCAAAACGCAAAAAGAACCATAGGAGTAAGTCTAACTCATGCATGGGCCAAGATGACTCATCAAGATTGCAGTTTATGAACAAAGGACCTCAAAAATGCCAAGATCTACCATCCTTAGCTTATGGAGTAGCTCATACTCTCAATCATGGCTTAAAGGACCATAAAAAGCATAAAAACAAGCCTTAACTAGATCTAACCAAATGATTCATCAAGTTAAGAGCTTTATACCTCAAATAGCTTGCAAAGTTGATGAAGATTCTGGATCTTCAAGCTCCAAGTCCACCAAAGCTTCAACACCAAGCTTCACCTCCTTCAAAGGGTCCAAAAATACCTCAAGGTTACAACAATGGCTCACAAACACTCAAATGAAGTCTAGGGTTTCGTTCTTAGTTTTTTGAGAGATGGATGCTGGTCATAAGAGAGACTATAAGCAACTTAAGGTGTTTAAATAGCGCACAAGACCTAAAAAAATAGGGTTTATCCCAGCCGAGAGTACGCCCCACGTACTCCCACGTACGCCCAACATACGTGGGTGCCTCCGCAATCCTGCATCGAGCTAGTACACCCAACGTACTCCTAGAGTATGCCCAACGTACTCGGCTAGGGGCTAAAACCACCAATCTTCTGAAAGCCATAACTTCTTCGTTCTAAGTCCGATTTCGACGTTCTTTATATCCACGGAAAGGTAATGACAAGCTCTAAAATTATATCAACTCTCCTTTTGCCTTAAAACTTCCCGAGTTTTAATCGAAACTTCATAAAATGTCCGAACTATCACTTTACGGTCATACCCTTGAGCTCCAAAACATGAACTGAACTCTCGGATCACGTAATCTATATTATCCACATACAAGGGGTCTAAATATCTCCTTCCCCAAGGACCATAGCCTTATGATAATTGATCATCGGGTCACAGCCCTGAATTAGGAAACGATTCTAAACAGGGTGTTACAACACACCTTTATCAATTGCTTGTTGTGACATTGCTCAAAGAAAACAGACATCATCAATAATTCATATACTTTGTCATCCCACCCTCCGCCAGTTGCTTCCTCCGCCACTCATCCACCAGCGCTAACCCCCACCTTCTACAACTGCGACAGTGAGCATACATGTTGTTTATTCTTTTTTTTTTCTGAAATCAAAGTTTCACGTTTTGTTTTTGTTTTTTTTTTTTTTTTCTGAAATTGGAACTCTCTTTGTTGTTTCCTCTTATTCTTGTTGGATTATTCTTCCTTATGATATTAGATTGAGTTCCCTACTTATTATGTTTTTAAGATATTAGATCATATCAAGTTAATATGAATTTGCAATTTTCATATGAGAAATCAGTCATTGGTTTTAACATAGAAAATTAGAAATTAGTCATTGGTTTTAGCACCACAACATCTCCTGTGTTACTCTATCAATGTCAATCAGATTTGAAATTGATCATTTTTTATGTTTAAAGTGTAATGTAATTTGGGTTTTATTGATTTTGTATATGTTTGAGTTAATGATCATTTGGTTTTAACTGATTTATTGAGGAAATATAAGAATGAGCTTCATGTACTATTGTTAAAATATTTCGATTGTACTATTGTAATTATGGTGGATTTTGGATTTCCATACAAAGTATTTAACTATTTAATAATTTTGTTCCCTAGATCAGTGGTAATGGTTTCATTGATTTCCATACAAGTACTTATGCATGTTGCTCTTTGTTGTGTTTAGGGATTCAGAGTTTCAACTATGGGTGTTGATGAAAAAACTCACCAAGAACGCCCATATCAGTGTTTAGTGGTAATGTTGTCATTGATTTCCATACAAGTACTTGTGCCGGTTTTAGTCCTTTGATGATAGTTGCTTTTCAAGTTGTTTGAAAATGGGAACCACACAGGAAGATATACATGAAGCAAAGAGTTATACAATTGTGAAGGGATCTTGCGGACACATTAATTATTAGAACTTTATTATGCAGTAATAATGTTATTTTTCCATGATTTTGTCATTTTATATAGAATTTGTTTGTATAAATATGTTGAGGAAACATCCAATAAGATGGAAGCTCTTTTAAGCATGAACATATGATAAGATGGAAGCTCTTTGATTTGTTTGTTATAATATTCTACTTCTATTATAGATAGATTTTATTTAGCACAAAATAAAATATAAGGGTAGAGTGGTCATTTTCAACATCCAACACAGTCAGTCGGATGCGTAATCAAACAACATAGTTTCAGAAGCAGATGCAGTCAGAGTTCCTAACGTAGTCAGGTTCTGACTCATTCAGGTCTTACTCAGTCAACAACTATCAAATAGCCACAAGTGTTATATTAAATGTTCTTTTGTTCTCTATTATGATCTTGTTATTCTATAGTTTAAGTTCCCTATATGGCCTTGTTATTTCTATACTTTAAGTTCTATAGTAAGTGTTATATCAAATGTTATTTTCATCTCTATTATGGTCTTGTTATTTCTATACTTTAAGTTCTCCTCATTATTATTTATAATAGACAAAATTTCACGGATAGTTCTTATGGTTTTGATTTTGTCCCCAAAACAGTTCTATGAAACCCTTTTTTGCATGAATGGTCCCTTCAGACGAAACATCGTACTCCAATGGTCATTGTGATGTATGTCCATTAGATGGACCCGTTAAGTTGAGGAAATTTTGGATAAAGACAATTTTTGACATTTTGTGAAACTTTTTTAAGAACCATTTGTGAAATTTCGTCTAAGGATCATTTGTGAACTTTAGAAGAATTCTAATAAATCTTGTATTAATTATCATAAATCAAATAAAAATGCAAAAAACTAAAACATAAAAAATGTAATATTTATATAAAAAAACTTATTAATTTTAATCATCAAGCAAATATATTTTATTTAATATATAAATAATTTTTATCGTCTAAATTTATCTAAAATATTCAAACTAAAATACATCATTAAATATTTTCGTTTTTAATTTTTTATCCAAAAAAATTGAAGTATAAAAACATTATTTTATTATTTTATGTGATGTAATTTTCAAGATTTATCTTTATTTTTATTATATAAATATATTTATTTTTATAAAAAATATGTTTTTTTTTTAAATTTTGTCGTCTGTCAAAATTATATTTGGATTTTGAATTATATTTAGGGGGTGTTTGGGATTGCTTTTTAGCTTAAAAAGTCATTTTCAATAAAATGACTTTTTAACTTATAGCTTTTTCTAAAAATAGGTTTTAAAATATGTTTGGATTAACTTTTGAAAATGCTAAAAAGCCAAAAGTCACTAAAAGTCACAAATTCTGACTTTTAAAATCAAAACTTTTTCTTCAGTCATTGTAAAAGATCTTTTATAATTGCCAAACAAGTTTTCACACTTTTAACATTTTGAAAAAATCAAAAGTTAAAAAAAATTATTTTAAAAGTTTTCACAAACACCCTCTTAGATTTTGCATAAGCTAATGATTGGTCACCGTTTTACAACAATGTATTTTCATTAAGACCATAATATATAAACATGCTTTCATTAAAATATCTATTAATGCAGTACAATAACCTCATAGGACTGACCTTAAATTTTTTCTTTAAAGTTTTAGCACATAGGATACGAATAATTTATACAAAAGGTTTTAAGAAAAATATATAATATAATTTTTATAGCTTTAACTTGGATTTTTCTAAGGTCTTCTTTATAAATTATTGAATTAGGTTATAATAGTTGTCGACATGTTACAATATCACAGCCGAACACTTGTCACACTAATAATTGGAACATTTTAGAATAAAGCACAAATAAAATACCATAATATATATATATTTTTTAATATTAATATTTATATAATATAATAATATAATAATATTATAATTATACCGGTTTATTCCGCTATATTCCAGCTCTCTCTCTGTCCTCCGCGTGTATCAGATTCTCTCTCCTCTCCAAATTTTCGTAAGATCACTCATTCGCCAAACATCATCACAAATCCAGCCATAAATCTCTCACTCCACACACACAATTCTACCAAATCTCAGAGTGGAAGAGAGGTTTAATGGCGGGAAACGATTGGATAAACAGTTACTTGGAAGCCATACTTGATGTAGGTCCTGGACTTGATGATAAAAAATCATCCTTGCTCCTTCGTGAAAGAGGCCGTTTTAGCCCGACACGCTACTTCGTTGATAACGTTATCGGCTTCGATGAGACTGATCTTCATCGCTCCTGGGTTAAAGTAAGTCCGATTCATTGATTTTTGATTAATCTGTATATGTGTCTGTCTATTGTCCTGTACTTCTGTTATGTTTTTAACTTCGTTTGGAGGAATCGAATTGAATCGAATCGTGGTGTGTATTGTGTATTGTGTGTTGTGTATTGTGTATTATGTGTGTTTATGTTGCTTTGTTTATTTTTTTTCTTTGGAATTGGGAATTAAACATCGTCGTATGTATATGCAGGCCCAAGCGACGAGGAGTCCTCAAGAGAGGAACACCAGACTTGAGAATATGTGTTGGAGGATTTGGAATTTAGCTCGCCAGAAAAAACAGGTTTTTACAACTTTTATTTACTTAATTGTTAATTTTTTTCCCCTCAAATTTGTTTCTTATGCAATTAGGTGTTGATTCAGTAGGTGAATTTCATCTGAACAATCTGTGTGAACTGTTGGTGATTAATAACATCCATAAAAACGAATGTAGGCTTATAACATATGTAGATCGATGAACTTCCTACATAATTATAAGCTGAAAAACTATTCATACCTTTTTGTTTCCAACTTTGTTAACATCTTCCTTCTGTTCATCAGCTTGAGAATGAGGAAAACCATAGAGTGGCCAAACGCCGAATTGAACGTGAAAAAGGTCGCAGAGAAGCAGTTGCAGATATGTCAGAAGACTTATCAGAAGGGGAAAAAGGAGAAAACATCAACGATGTATCTGTTCATGGTGAAAGCCACAGAGGTCGTTTGCCCAGAATGTCCTCCTTGGATGCCATGGAAGCATGGGCCAATACACAAAAGGGGAAAAAACTCTATCTTGTATTAATAAGGTACAATCACAATCACAATCATCTCCCTCTCTCTTTCTTTTTCCCTCTTTACCCTTATCAATCAACTAACCTACATATGTACTTATGTTACAGTCTTCATGGGTTAATACGTGGTGAAAACATGGAGCTAGGTCGTGATTCTGATACAGGTGGACAGGTACATTTCAGTAATTCCAGTCTTACCTTTTCGTTCCTTTTTGAAGTAATTATTTGTAAATTCTCTATCAGGTGAAGTATGTAGTGGAACTAGCAAGGGCATTAGCGTCAATGCCAGGTGTCTACAGAGTTGATTTACTTACAAGACAAGTAGCTTCACCAGAAGTAGACTGGAGTTATGGAGAACCAACAGAAATGTTATCTCCAAGAAACTCAGATGGAATGACAGATGAAATAGGAGAAAGTAGTGGAGCATATATAATCCGTATTCCATTTGGTCCAAAAGACAAATATGTCCCTAAAGAGCTTCTATGGCCCCACATCCCTGAATTTGTTGATGGAGCACTTGGACACGTCATCCAGATGTCAAAAGTTTTGGGTGAGCAAGTTGGTGGTGGATACCCTGTGTGGCCTGTTGCCATTCATGGACATTATGCTGATGCTGGTGACTCAGCTGCCAGGCTGTCAGGTGCCCTAAATGTTCCCATGCTTTTTACTGGTCATTCACTTGGAAGAGATAAGTTAGAACAGCTTTTAAGACAGGGGAGATTAACAAAAGATGAAATCAATGCTACTTATAAGATCATGAGAAGAATTGAAGGTGAAGAGAATAGTCTTGATGCATCTGAGATTGTTATAACAAGCACTCGACAAGAGATAGATGAACAATGGAGATTATATGATGGTTTTGACCCTGTGCTTGAAAAGAAACTTAGAGCTAGGATCAGACGGAATGTTAGCTGTTATGGAAGGTTCATGCCTCGTATGGTTGTAAGTTTCCAAAAATACCCTTGATCCATAATCCAATATTATGTACATTTTGTGTTTAACCATTTTAGTTACTGATAGGTAATTCCACCTGGGATGGAGTTTAATCATATTGTTCCACATGATGTGGATGGTGAAAATGAAGGATCAGAAGATCATCAGACTTCTCCAGATCCACCTATTTGGACAGAGGTTTCAATTCTTTACCAAATTATATATATATATATATATATATATATATATATATATATATATATATATATCACTCAAAATCCTTTTTTTTTTTTATATTTTTTATTAATAAAAAAATCATTGCTATTTCATACAGATAATGCGATTCTTCACCAATCCACGTAAGCCCATGATTCTTGCACTTGCTAGACCAGATCCCAAAAAGAACCTTACAACTTTGGTTAAAGCATTTGGGGAGTGTCGCCCATTAAGAGAGCTTGCTAATCTTGTATGTTTCCATATTTACCCTTTTGTTATTTGTTATTGAAATTGAATCTTTTTGGTGATTAATTAATACTTTTTTTTTGCAGACATTAATTATGGGTAACAGAGATAACATTGATGAAATGTCAAGCACAAGTGCTTCAATGCTTCTTTCCATTATTAAAATGATTGATAAATATGATCTTTATGGTCAAGTCGCCTACCCTAAACATCATAAACAGAGTGATGTCCCTGATATATACCGATTAGCAGCAAAAACCAAGGTATGTCAAGGGCATTTTCGTCTTTTCACACAAACATAATGTCACCATGTTTTATTTAACTTGTTTTTGTTTTCTCAGGGTGTTTTCATCAATCCAGCTTTCATTGAGCCATTTGGACTCACTTTAATCGAGGTATCTTTTCTTTCACAGTTTCACCATTTTTTATTTTCTTACCAATTTTATTTATTTATTTTTTTATAAAACAGGCTGCTGCTCATGGGCTACCAATGGTTGCCACGAAAAACGGAGGCCCAGTAGACATACATCGGGTCAGTCTCGTTTAAATATTTATTTTCATTTCATTTTTTATTGAATATTTAAAAAGTCAACTTTTTTTTTTTAGGTACTTGATAATGGTTTACTCATCGATCCACATGACCAAAAATCAATAGCGGATGCTTTACTAAAACTCGTTGCAGACAAACAACTTTGGTCAAAATGTAGGTCAAACGGATTAAGAAACATTCATCTCTTTTCATGGACTGAACACTGCAAAACCTACCTATCACGTATCGCCACGTGTAAGCCACGTCACCCCGGGTGGCTAAAAAACGACGACGATGAGGAAACTTCAGAATCCGATTCACCAAGCGATTCCCTACGCGATATGCAAGACATTTCTCTAAACCTAAAGTTCTCAATGGACGGGGGAGAAAAAGGTAATTCCATAAACCCCGAGGACCGAAATAGTAAATTAGAAAACGCTGTTTTGTCGTACACAAAAAGTATCGCGAAGGTAAATCCGGAGCAACCGAAGTTCCCGGCGTTGAGACGGAGGACGCATATATTTGTGGTGGCGATTGACGACGACGACGTGGAGGGTATTTTCGGAAATGTTAGGAAGATTTTTGAGGCGGTTGATAAGGAGAAGAAAGAAGGTTCGATTGGGTTTATTTTGGCGACTTCGTTACAAATTGCGGAAGTTCATTCGTTTTTGGTGAAGAAAGGGGTGAATCCTGCGGATTTTGATGCGTTTATTTGTAATAGTGGAGCGGATTTGTATTATTCTTCTTCTCATTCTGAAGATAATCCGTTTGTGTTTGATTTATATTATCATTCGCATATTGAGTATCGATGGGGAGGTGAAGGACTTCGGAAGACTTTGGTCAAATGGGCGTCTTCTATCATTGATAAAAAAGCTGAGAAGAAAAGTGAACAACATGTTGTTACAGAAGATGAAGAAGTCACAACGAATTACTGTTATGCTTTTAACATTCACAAACCTGGATTAGTAAGTTTTTTTAAATGAATTCGTATTTGTGATTTGTTAACCAATTAATGAAATTGAGTGGTTGAATTTGTATTTGTAGGTGCCACCTGTCAAGGAGCTTCAAAAGTTAATGAGGATTCAAGCTCTTCGTTGTCATGTTATTTATTGCCAAAAATGGAAGGAAAATAAATGTTATTCCAGTGTCTGCATCCCGTTCTCAAGCTCTTAGGTATTTATTATTTTTTTATTCTATTATTTAAAAAGAATTATCTTTATAAAAAGTATTTGCATAATTCAGGTACTTGTATCTAAGGTGGGGTATGGAGTTATCAAAAGTGGTGGTATTTGTTGGAGAAAGTGGGGACACAGATTATGAAGGGTTTCTAGGTGGGGTCCACAAGGTGGTTATAATGAAAGGAGTTGGAAACAGTAACAGCAATCAGCTTCATGCGAATAGAGTCTATCCGCTTTCAGACGTTATTCCTACTGAAAGTGGTAATATCATTCAGACATCTGAAGAGTGTAGCAGTGGTGATATTCGTGCTTCATTGGGAAAACTTGGAGTTCTGAATGGGTAAAGACTAAAGACATGACTTTACAGGTGATATGTTTTCATTGAAATTTGAATATACTTTTTTATGAGTTTATCAAAGTATAAGAAAAAAGGAAAAAAATATATGATATGATTTGTACAGAAGTTATATAAATGAGGCGAATACTGTATTTCCGCTTGTAACGGTTTTAATATTTTTACCTGAGTATTGAAGGTTTAATATGGTTTTGATTTTTTTTTATACTATTCTTTTTAATGAAATAATATATAAACAACTAAAAATTATATATTTGTATGTTCAATAGGGTGTTTGAGATTACTTATTTAAGGTACTTATGGTACTGTTCATAAACATAATTTAGTATATGGATGGAATAAAGTAAAAAGTGATTATTGACTTAAGAAGGTTTTAATAAGTTATTTTCTTCTAACTTATTTAAAAGTGGTTGGTTATACATTATTTGAAAGTGTTTATTATACATGAAACCAAGTTGTTAAATATTGTATATTTATTTGTACACATTGTATAATATAGGGTCCTTCATATGACATATGTATCTATTTATATAAAGCTCATGTAATACCAACCTTAACTGGTTTTCCACGTTATCATACATGATATTGAGTCGGGCCGATTAACTCATCACTTTTGTGGTGGAATCATGACTACGAACAAAAATAGTCTCTTTTGGTTTGGAAGCTAGTCTCGATGTACTCTGAATTCTTCCTCATAACTTTTGGATCAAGAACATGCATTTCGTCCTTCTCAAACTTTGTACTCTGAATTATTCCTCATAACTTTTCAATCAAGAACATGCATTTCGTCTTTCTCAAACTTTTTAAGATTGCTCGTCTTGTATCTAATGATCAATGTAACAATTGGGATGTTGCTTCGTCATCGGTCCCTAGGGCTGTAAACGTTCAACGAATTGTTCGTAAACCGTTCGGTGGGAAGTTCGTTTATGTTCGTTTATTTAATAAATGAACGAACATGAACACAAATAATGAAACGAACGAACATGAACAATGGTCTCGTTCGTTCAATTATGTTCGTGAACGTTCGTTTATGTCATTTGTTTACATTCGTTTATATAAGTTCCTTTTATGTTCATATATGTTTAATTGTGTTTGATTACATTATCATATTATATGTTCATATAGGTTCAATTATGTTTGTTTATCTTTGTTCATTTATGTTCGTTTACCATATTCATGAACATAAACGAACAAACATGAACAATGTAACTTGTTAAACGAGCGAACATGAACAAGAAAACTCGTTCGGTTATCCGTTCGTATTCGTTCGACTAACTTAAACGAACAAACATGAACAAGCTCCCGTTCGTGTTCGTGTTCGCTTGGTTCTTTTACAACCCTATCGGTCCCATTGTTGTTGTGCTAGCGTCGTTGTTTGCTCTTCAATCATTGTGATCGTTGACAATGTTGCACGTTGTCAACGGCCGCCCACTTCTCCGATCATTCCATCGTGGTTGTTCTGTCGACGATTACATCATTCATTGTTTTTTTTTTCGATCATAAGTTCTTGCAACCGCCATCCTTCATCACTGTCATTGCCCTCTGCCTTGGATGTATCTCTCCGTGGACTCTCCTATCTCACTCTAATGTTGCAGCCGCCAATTAACTAGAATCCCTCTATTATAGGTGGGCTTTTTATTATTATATTTGTTATTTTGTCATGTTTGTCAACTTGGAAAACACTATCGTTTAACATTTTTTTAATTTTAATTCACCAACTACACGCTTATTTCAACTCATTCACAAACTACATGTTCCAAGTTTATGTGGTTAAAAATATTATGTGTTGTTTCTTGATTATTTTTCTCTTTTTTTTTTGTTTGTTTCACTTGCGTTCAAAGTCTGAAGTTTTTAATGTGTTTTGCAACTTTCAGTCAAACATTCAACTATTTCAATGTGATAATGGTGCAAATTTAATAATCATACCTTATTTAACTATTTGGTGACTCATGACATCAAAATATGATTTTCTTGCCCTTACGCATCACAAAATAAAACGTACCACTTGAAAAGTCAATAACATTATTTCAGACTCAACCTATTCATGCATCTCTTTCTCCAAAATTTTGGGTTGAGTATCTCATTGATGTTGTGCACACCCGTAGGTGTTGTTTTTTTTCTTCAGAAAAACCACTTCTTGCTGCGCCGCACAGCACATGCGCAACACTTGACCTTTTGCAACTGTTTGTTTTTTGGAAGACTTCTAACTTAAAAATTGATGTGCGTTTGCTGTGTGACGCAGCACTGGACCATCCCATTCAAACCACTTCTCACTTGCTTTAAATTATATCATTCAATTTAGATTTGTTTTAATTTTTTTTCAACATGTTTATTATTTTAATAATATTTAAAGAATATGTAAAAAATTGGAGTATATTTTACATAATTTCAAAACTGTTTAGTAAATTTTATATAAATATTTTTTGTGTTATATTGTCTATATAACCAAATATTAATAAATTATAAAGTTAATCATTAAAATTACCAAATTTATTGAAGTTAACCGGAAAAATAATCATTGTCTTCAAAATTTTAACAAAAATGAACATGTTTTTTTAGCTAAATTAACAATTTTATTTATTTTTATTTACCAAATATTATGTTTAATTCTTTTATATAAACCTCATTAAAAATCATATCATCACAATGATCTTTATATTTGATTTACATATGATTAAACTAAATAAAATTTTTACTTAGATTTTATTTTAACTATTGTATAGTTAATTTCAGTTTACTGCAACAGTCTGTAGAGGTTAAAAAACAAACAGACTTCTTATTACAAGCTGCAGTCGTTTGGTCAAGCTCTTCAACTATAGAGGGTTGCAGATGTGGTCCGCAGACTTCAGCTGATTTCGCTTTGAAAAAACAAACAACACCTTAGCCTGCTTCCCACGTCTACTCTTGCTTTTAAAACCCCATTTGAGGTTTTGTTTGTTTGGTTTATCTCTTCTTACACACACTTAAGAGTGTTTAATGTCTCCACTACCTTAATACTACATCGACCGCTCCCTCATAAATTTGTCTTGACGCTCCATGCATAGTATGTACCTTGGCCCTATGTATGATCACCGTGGGTACCAATGTTTGGATCTCCCTACACAAAGAGTCCTAAACTTTTGTCATGTATTTGATGATGATTGTTTTTCTTACAAAGATTTCCATTTTCCACCCTTCGGCTACCTTGTCTGACTTTGAGTCTTGCATCCCATATGACTCGTCGTCACCTTTCTTTATCTCTCATCCGAACATGTTTTTGCATTGACCAAGGTTGTATATTCTAAGGGTATTTATCCCTATGTTGCCGCTTTGGGTTTGTACCTTTCCTCTCTTCCCTCAAGTGTCTCGAGCTTCCCTTCCATATGACATCTCTCTTTTTCTCTACTATAATAAGTCCTACTTCATCACTTGTTGAAGCTCCTCTTTCTGCTCCTCACACCAGTCACCATATGAAAAACAAGTCACACACAGACTCTCTCAAACCTCAATATATTTTAAACTTATGTAACACATTTGACATGTTCCCCATTCCTAGCTCTAATGCCCATGCACTTTATGATCCCTATTGGAAAGTTTCCATGGATATTGAAATGACACCTCCTTCTATAATCACACTTAGGATTTTGTCCTACCGCCTCCCACACCAACATTGTTGGTTTTCGTTGGCTTTTCTGACACATGTTTACAATATTGGCAAGCTCGGTCAATATAAAGGTCAACTTGTAGCCAAAGGTTTATCTCAACAACTTGGTCTTGACTTAGATGACATTTTTAGTCTTGTCAAAACAACCACTATTTACACTATCTTAAGCATTGTCGTGTCCTAACAATATGAAAACCACCTTCCTCAGCAATGATCTTAGTGAGGTTGTATACATGAAACAACCTCATAGTTATATGAATCGTAAAAATCCTAATCACCTTTGTTGACTATGTAAGTCCTTGTATGATCTTAAATAGACCCTACGTGCATGATATCATTGTTTTTTCTGTTCACATCTCTTCCATTGACTTAAAAAGAAGACATTCTGGTACGTCTTTTTTACATATCATCACCTATCTGATACCACCTACTTACTTATGTATTTTGATGATATCATTCTCACTGCTTGTCTGTTGTCTTACTTACTCATGTCATTGGTCGACTTAAATATGAATTTCCCATGTCTTACTTGGAATCTATCTCTTTATTCTTGCAATTGTTGCGTCTCGAACCCCCTTTCTCTATTTCTCTCTCGGTCCTCATTTTATAGGTAAATCATTAAGTATGTTAACATGGATACATGTAAATCCTGCAACACCCTTACAGACTCTAAGCCTAATCTCTCCTTTGAAAACAAGCCTACATCAGACCCAACCCTTTATCAGAGTCTTGTAGGGGCCTTACAATATCTCAATGTCACATACTCGTGATATTGTGTATGCAGTTCAAGAAGTCTGCCTCTACATGCATGACCTATAGGAACCCCACTTCCTTACCCTAACATATTTTTTGCTATATTAAGGGCATTCTTACCATTATCTTAAGATTCGTCTATTTCGTATTGATTTTTTGGTCTCTTACTCTAATAATAACCGAGTTGGTTGTCCGGGTTTTGTGTCTATCTTGGTGACAACCTCATCCCGTGGTCATCTAAACACCAATAGGTTGTCTCTTGGCTTTGAAACCTTCTTCTCAAGTTGTGATTCCCCTTATCTTGTGTTACTATTGTTCTTTTGTGATAATGACTTTCATGCATTTAGCCTCTAACCAGTCCACACCAAATAACAAACATTTGGATATCAATTTACATTATGTTAGAGAACATGTTCATTTTAGTCAAGTTCGTGTGTTGCAGTGTTGCACGTGTCATCAACTTATAAATTTGCAAATATATTTACTAAAGAATACCTACACAATTATTTTTGAACTTTCGGGACATTTGAGCATTTGTAAACTCTTGCTCCAATTAAGTGAGTGTGTTAAATACCGTATTATTTATTTGTTCACATTGTATAATATATATATGGTCGTTTTATGTAACATTTGCACTTATTTATACAAAACTAATGCAAACCCTAATGATTCCACATTATCAAACACAAATGGATTGTAACCTCAAATTTCTTTTCTCGTAACTAATTTACCATTTCACTACTGTCGTTTTGATCATTTTACATATATAAGCGGAATTTGTCAAACACTAAAAGATAATTTTTCAACTTATTGCATTACTTTATTGATACGCCTTGAATTAAATTGCAATGATTTAATAAAGTTTTTCTATTACTAAACTAATCTTTATATTAACCAAATATGGTGAGGTCGTATAACAAAATCACCAGCTTATGAAAATATATTACATAATGATATGACTTCAACTCACGATATAAGTTTCTACACAACAACAACAACAAAAGAAAAAAAAAAAAGCGCAACAAATGTTAAATCTCGTAGTGTTTGTGATATTCATTTCAAGGTCTTTCTTTAAATCAAAGTTCTTTAAAATGTTGTGTATGAATTAGCTCATTTTATGGAAACACTCATTCATATATAATGGTCAAATGTCCACCTTTCCTCATTAGTCCATTTAACAATGTTTTTTTTTTCTCCCAATATTTATACCTTTAAAATAGTTACAAAAAGGGAGAAATAATCACTTTTAAAAAGCCAAAAAAAAAAGTGAAATGAAATTAGAGTGACACAAGTGGGTGAGTTTATGGGGAAATTGTATGGAATTCACTCTGTTCCATAATAAGTTTACACCAGAGGAACAAACCCCATAATATTTCATTCATTAACATTCATTCATTGATTCTAAGCTTAAAAATTTACCAAATCACATAATCTTCTCATTGAACAAGCAATTTTGAGTCACATGCCACTATCTTAACCCTTCCAACATTTTCCTGACATTCATCATACTTGAACAGAGCATCTTGAAGAATGAATGTCCACACATTGTCACAGAATCTGTACGTGTGCAAATGCCCCTGTCATTATATAAACAAAAACATCAGCAACTGGGGGTATAATCGTCATTTATCAGGTTCTTTCTTTTCGAATGGGTTTTGCTTAAGCCAAAACCTGAGACTCAATGTATCAAGAAATCAACTCTTTACCTTATTTAACTTATCTCATGTTAAAATTGATGAACATTGTGAAATTTTTTAATTGGAATGTAAAGGGTATAATGGTAATTTTGTCATGAAGCATTACACTTTCTTTTCAACACAAGAATTAAAGAGATGGAAATTATTTACCTTAATAGAGACCTTGGTCTTAACCTGATTGTCCAGAGCTTCAGCCATTGACTACAACCAATGAAACATGATATCTTACAGATTAAATAATCATCAATACACATACTACCTTCACACTGAATTAACACATAGTTAAAAAAGAAGAAGAAGAAGAAGAAGAAGCTCTGAAGAGTTAAGAGACCTTATCAAACTGAACAAGAACTTGGATAGCAAGCTCAGGACCAAGAATCCCACTTGATACCATCTCATCCAAAGTTTCAGTCAAACACATTCCAATTGTTGACCTACGATACAACTCAAATGTTGCCATTTGATTTCTCTTCTTAATCAACAACCTGTTAAATCAAATCCCAACATAATTATCATGTTGCACAAAATGAAAGAAAAAACTCATTTCTCATTTCTTATCCATCAAAAGAAATCAAAATCTACTACTTTTACAGAAATATATTCTGAACCTGAATTAGAAATTCACTCATACACAATATGAAGTTCGTTCATGCGTACTTCGATTTGCAAAACGACACAAATTAAACATGACATTTGTAGTGTTATGATACGAAGCAACCGAGCTACCGTATTCAAAGAAAACAGGCAAAAATAATCTGAAACTTCGAATCCGAAATCGAAATCAAGATGTTATTCACATAATCAACAACGCGAGATGTCAGAATTTTGAATCAAAGAAACTAAAACTCAAAATCTGAAACAAACAGCAGGCATCGCATAATTTCGCACGAGAATCTTCAATATATACATAAATTAACACAGTTAACGCGCATATATCATTCAATATGAAATCAATTGAGTTTTAAATTGATGATTTATAGAGAATCGGACTCACTTTTTTTTCCGCTCGTTGAGGTTGTGGAAACTTTGGTGCAGAGGGAGAATGAGATCTGCTTTTTATACCCTAGTTTTCGTAGCTCTGGCCTTATATAGGCAGAGAGGGTAAAGCATCGAATGAGAAAAAGACGAAACTACCCCTGCTCTTGTTGATGAAAGGAGAGGGCTGATCGAAGATCTTTGTAGGGTAAAATCGTCCATTCCGACTCCTGAGCTTCTAGATGTTCGATAAAAGCTTGTAGCCCATTTAATAACGTTTCTCAGGGCCTGGCCCAATAATAACTTGTACCTTACGTCTTACTTATGATAGAATAAAGTCAATAAAGCATGAAATTAATTATTTAAATTTCATGAATTTTTTTTACAAAATTTTAGAAATAGTTTCTATGGTTTTTTAAAAAATTGCATAGTGATGACATTTTTCATAAATTTCATATATTTGTTTCGTATGGTTTCTAAAAAATTTATGGTTGGTCATTCTGTCTAACACCTTTTGAATTTTCGGTTAAATCTAGTATAAACGATTTGTTTGCCTTCTAAAAATAATAAAAAATAAAACTATTGACAAAAAAAATATATATTGGCCATTTCATATGTTTTTAACAGTGTTTTTTCAACTGTGTTTTTTCAACAGAAATAATGCAAGATTTTGAAACCATAAAATGGTTGGGTAAGTTTTTCAAAGTTGTCATTTTGAATCATTAGATATTTTAACCTATATTAGCATTTATATGTTGTATCTATTTTTTTCTAGCAAAAATGGATTTTTTTTGTTTTTGTCAAAACCTCTTGACTCGAAAATCAAACCGGAAAATGAATTTTAAGATTTGGTTTCATTGTTTATGACCCAAAAAAAAAAACATTTTACATAAATCAAGCAAACTCTAAAACTTTCCAACCAATAAACATGATTCTCAAAAGAACTAATAACCAAAAATCCAACATCACACACACAAGTCCTCAAATGTGACGATTTGAGTGACCCTTTGGATTTATCAACCACATAACTATATCATTTCTACTAAAATAAACGTCATGTGTAGCTTCAAATAATCTCTTTTCAATTATATACCAAAACAAAATGATATTTTTTTCCCACATCAATACAATTTTTTAATCATCTTGACTAACTTGATTATCGGTGCTAATTAGCATAAAATTATTGATAAAATAACTAGATTATAAAATAGTTTTTGTAATCAAATTTTACCAATATCTCTTGATTGTATTCTGTGCAACTAGCCACAATGCCTCATAGTAAAAGACTAAAGCACCCTTCATCACAAAATACAACCATTCAAGCAAACATGTAGTAGTTTGCAATTGCTATGATTATGATTTATCTTAAAGCTAATAATTGTTGCTCTAACTCATCACAAAAGTCATCTTTTACACAATCTTCCTCTCCTGAATTCTCATTAAACTCAACCGCTTCAAAGTCTTCTCCATTTCCATTTTGTTGTTCTTTGCTCTGGATTTCTGCCACGTGTCCAGTTTTCTTATAAAACATTTCTTTCTCAACATTCCAATCTTCACTTGTTTTCCCAATCACATCTCCAATCAATATCTGGTTTTCAGCAATGTGCTTTATATCACGTGTATCCATCACCTTTTCCGCTTCTGTATAATTGATTTGAATAATATGAAATTTGTTTTGTGAAGGGTAAAATGGTCATTTAGTATTGTTTAGACTTAGACAGATAAGATTATATTGATATATGAGAAAAAAAACCTTTAATAGCTAGCTCTTTGGCCAAAGAATAATCTCTTGACATTTTCTTGAGTGAATCAACATCAAATTCTTTATCCTAAAAAACAAAAAAGATTATTCAATTCTTAAAGTCACAAAAAATCATTATGAAATATTGCAAAAAATTAGCACTCACTATGTCCATGTGGATGTAACGTTCGATTTCTGTGTCTTTAAATAACCTAATTCAAAACAAGAAAACATAATAACAACTCATATATCATGACACAATCTTTAAATATTTAACTAATTATAGATTTAAAGATTTACTTTTTATTGGCATGTTGAACACGTGCATCTTGTAAATTTGTTAATTCATTTACCCTTTCTTCTACAGATCCTTGTTTTAAATCAGTAGCTCCATATAGAAATAAATCCCTTTCTAGCATACTTTTCACTAAAATTGATACAATTCCTATATTCTCTTTTTTTGCATCAACAACAAGTTCCTTAAGTCTCTTGATTTCTCCTACAAGATAAAAAGAAAAATATTAAATCCCATGAGAAAAGATTATATAAAAACCAGAGAATAAAAATAAAAAACAACATACGTGCACACAAATAGATTCTGAAGGGAGGCTTGAATGGTTGTGTTTCATGTAGGCAGAAAAGACAATAAAGCCCTCCGATTCTGTGTGATATAGAAGAATTAGATACCATGTAACCTGCATCAGAATATATATATATATATATATATATATATATATAATATATTGTCAATTATTTAAATAAGATTAAAACTTTGTATGGATAATTATATATAATTTATTATACCTATGGAATGGGAATAGAGAGATTGCATAAAGAAACCCAATTTTGAATTGGGTTTAGCCTCAAAGATGCATGAGAATTTTTTAGAAAGCCATATTTTCTTCATATCAGTTAATGTAGTCATTTCACCCTGAAATAATTCAGATAAAGTTTCAAAACATGGAAATAATTAAGGCCAAACTTTGAATTTTATAAAAACCACTATACTTTGGAATTAACCACTTGAAAATTCTTTTTTTTTTTTAATGATTTTACCACTAAAACTTTTGAATTTTATAAAAAAACATCATTAACCAGAAAAATCTTCTTCCGATTGTTAAACCAGAAAAAAGAACTTTTTTTAGTGGTTAGACCAACAAAAAATCAAACTACAGTGGTTTTTTGTGGAATTTACCTTAAAGGTAAAAAAAAAAAATGAATATAAGTTGAATAAAAGAGAGAGAGTAATGAGAGGGAAATTGTTTTGAGTACCTCTGCAAACTCATTGATAAGGTCATCAATGTCAAGTCTAAAGGGTTTGAGATCCATTGAGTCTAAAAAAATTTGGTATTTCCAAAAAAGACCCTGATAATTAACAAGTTCATTGTTAGGGATTAACATTGTGTAACCATCAAAACTCCAAAGTGACATAGTTTTATATATATATATATATATATATATATATATATATATATATATATATATATATATCAGAAGAGCATAAATATATATGAGAAGGAGCATACATGCCACAAAGAGATAACATATATCAAGAGAAAGAGAAGACAGCAGGTGAAAGTAATTGTGATTAGGATCATTTTGTTTCATTTCTCTTGGCGAATACAATCAACAACTATAGCATAATTTAGACATTTACCATTTCTTTTACAATTCCCATGTAGGTAGAAATCTATTCTGATTTCAAAGTAGAACCAGATACAGGAATTTTTGATTAACCGCAGTTAAACCTTAAAGGGGCATTTTATCAAACACTTGATATGCATCCCTTAATACCAAAGAAGTTGATTGAAAAGTAAAAGGTAAAGCACAGGTTGAGATGTTAGCTTAGATGAATATCTTACTGGTGGAGATGACGGCGGAGATGAACAAACAACACCATAATCTTCCTAACAGATGGTGCACCACTTAGAACAGCCGCATATCGCATTCAAATCACATGTAATTGCATAAAGAAACTAATAGACATAGCAACTAACCATCTGAAAAAAGGGATTCACTGTGGCATTTAATCAAACACCTAATAGGCATAACAACTAACCATTTAAGAAAAAATTCAGCCATAATTTTATAGTTCAACAAGAAAAAAACAATTCAACAACATAGTAAATTACATAATTGAAAAGAACCTATTTTGAGGAGAAAATTAGGCGAGGTAGCAGCGGAAGCTTCTGGTGAGTCGGCGGAGATCGTCTAGTTGGTCGTCGGCGGCGCCGGTCTTCAGGTGGTCCGGCGAAGTCTGAAGAGAGAAGGATGAAGGCGAGGGAGAAGGTTGAAGGTGAACACAGGGAAGAGACTACGCACGACGTCTTTTTTTTTTTTTTTTTTAGGCTTGTAAAAGAAACATAAACTTTTATAATAACGACGGTGAGTGGCCGACGAGACAGAGGGAGAACGAAGGAGGAGAGAAGAGAGAGAAGGTGTAGGGGGTGTTTTGGCTTATCTTTGAGAGGTCAAAGTCGTTTGTGGGAAAACGGAAGGCTTTCTTTCGAAGAAGCAAGGCTAAATGGAAATGGAGTGGTCACCACGATCGAAAAAGTCAAGTCATCTTCTCCACCAACCCACTGCGCCTTGAAAATGGTCACCACTAACCATATTTATTTATTTATTTATTTTTATTTTTTGTAACATTTATATTAAATAAAAAACATAATTTATAATATACATTAATTTTTTTTTTAACATTATATTAAATAAAAATCAAAATTTATAACATACTTAGTTTTTTTTTTTTTTTTTTTTTTTAATTTTCGTAACATTGTAATAAATAAAAAAATATTAATTTTTAACACAAATAAGTTGTTTGAAAACACAAAAAAATAAAATCATATTTCATTAATTAAAAACACAGATTTAAAACCTAAATTACTAAAACAAACATAAAACATAACAAATCAAACATTACACTACTTAATTAAAAAATAAAAAACACATAAAACATAAAACTCATAGATAAATACTACTCGTCGTCGTCACCGACTTCATCACCCTCAACCGCCTCGTCGTCACCTTCTATATTCGTCTCGTCATAATCGTCATCATCCTCTTCATCTTCATCGTTATATCCCCCTTCTAGTTGTCTCCCCCATATGTGTTCGGTCAAATTGTGACGTAGATTGTGATGTGTTTCACGATTTTGAATTTCCAAAACTCTAGAGAAGTATGTCGGGCTGCCAACTTCTATCACTGCAGGTGGATTAAGTATATCGTTCCTATTATATGAACATATAGCATGTCTGGTGCTTTACCCTGCAAAATATTGTTAAATAACGGAGACGCTTGAAGCACATTCAGGTCATTGTTGGACCCCGCCATACCAAAGAATGCATGTCAAAACCATAAGTCATGTGATACAACCGCCTCCAATATAACAATCGGGACCCCATGATTTCCTCGCATGAATTGACCACGCCACGCATTGGGACAGTTTGCCCACTCCCAATGTAACGACCCAAAAATCAAGGGTAAAAAAATTTCATTTTTAATTGTGTAATTATATAAACCATTAGTCTAAAAACATTCATAATATTAACTCATGTCAAAATCAGTGTGTAAATAAACAAACATGTCACCATAAATAATATTAGAGTATAATCCCGAAGATCTCATGTGCGGAAAACATAGTGTGATGCGTTGTGATCAAGCCGGCTCCTTCCCTTTGAAAACGAAGTACCTGAAACCAAAACTGAAAACTGTAAGCATGAAGCTTAGTGAGTCCCCCAGAGCATACCACACACAATCCAAATAACCACATAAACCATATCAGCTATAACAGATACATAAACTGTAACAATCGCATAGGCATGCATGTACACATATAAAGATGCCATGGAAACCCTCCAGGGTTTTATTCACATACTCACGTAAATCATATCAACTACACCAGCCATGCATATAAACATATAGGGAAGCCCTGGAAACCCTCTAGGGTCTTACACCGAGTGCCATGGGAACCCCCACATGGTCTTAGCCCAATGCCTCGGGAACCCCCCCGAGGTCTTTGACCTAGGATGCCAAGGAAACCCTCCAAGGTCTTACACCTAAGTGCCTCGGGAACCCCCCGAGGTCTTGACCTAGGATGCCAAGGAAACCCTCTAAGGTCTTACACCTAAGTGCCCCGGGAACCCCCCGAGGTCTTCCATGCAAGTATCACAAAGACCACTAGCCTATCACGTACCACAAAATCAATTAGCATACCACATAATCATTAGCATACTCCCTATCACATAACCAGCTAACATGCCACATAATACAACTTCAGCTAGTGTATCACATATCATAAAATGGGCCGGCCTTGGTGCCTTAGACCCATTGGTATGGTGAGGAGACTCACCTCGCACTACAGAAGCCTCCCGCATGAATTCCTTAGCTGCTGCCCCGCCAGCTTCCCGAGCTGTCACCACCAATCAATATACCCAAATAGCAATTAGGCCCCAATACCATAATCCTTAATCCATGCACGGGGTAAAATTACCATTCTACCCCTGGTCCAGTATGATCCAAACTAAGGCCCAAACCCAAAACAAAATCCCAATACTAGGTAGGCTTTCCAAGCGCACTAGTGGCCCACTAATGGCCCGATTTGCTAAATTAGGCCCAATCCCTCTAATAGGCCTTACCTTAAGCCCAAACATATTCCCGGCCCAAAACATCTGACTTCTGATGGTCCACTAAAGTCCAAAGGCCCAAAGTCCACTGCCTGGCCCAACCCGAGGCCCAAAAACAGTCCAAGCCCACAACTGATGAGTACGCGGGGCGTACTTCCTTGTACGCTAAGCGTACTGGCTGAGGTGGTGTACGCTGCGCGTACCTGCATGTACGCCCATCGTACTCCTTGTTAAGCTACTTTTTCATTAAGTGCTTAATACTCCATTCCAGTAGCTACAATTACAGATCTAAGTCCTCTTCGACATCCTAATCCATAAAGTCGAATGCTTTAAGCCTTTGCATGGCTTAATGAATCCCAAACACCAAAGATGAATTCCTAAAGGTCAAAATCACTCCCAAAATGTCTCAAAACTTCTTAATACCTTAAGACCTCAGTCCAAACTCCTAGATCTGATTTCAAGGGACCTCTTAAGTCATAAAGTTTCCAACTTTATGACTTAGCATAACTCAATGGGGTCCAAATCAAAACCTTGAGTCCCAAACTTCATCAAATGACCACTAAATCATGCATGGAAGGTTTATACCCATCAAGATCCAAACTTTGTGACTCCATAACCTCAATAAGGACCAAATATAGAGCTTCAAAGGTTCTGGAGTAACTTCTACTCACAAGAACCACCACAAAGGGACCAAAAAACCATAACCAAAAACCACCTAGCTAGATCTAAATGAAAGAGTTGTCAAGGTTGAGACTTTATACCTCCAAAAGCTTGCAAAGTTGATGAAGGTTCTGGATCTAGAAACTTGACTCCAACCATAGTTTGATCACCAAGTTCCTTCTTCTTCAAGGTCCAAACATAACAAGTCATAACCCAACTAGATCCACATGAGAAAGCCACCAAGATCCAAAATTTATACTTTCTGGAGTTAGATCAATATGATTAGGTCTTGGATCCAAAAAGCTTCAAGCCAAGCAATGCTTCCTCAAGGAAATCCTTCTTCCACAATAAGCACCAAAAACCCACTAAATCACCAAAAAGCTCAAGAATCACTCAAATGGAGGCTAAGGGTCGATTTCTAGGGTTTAGAGGGATGGAGGCTGAAGATATTAGGGTTAGGTTATGAGATAAGGAGTTTAAATAGGGTCCAAGACCCTAAAATAGGGTTATGATCTAACTGGAGTACGCCCAACGTACATATGGTACGCCCAGCGTACTCCGAGGAACATTCGTGACCCTCCTGGTCAGTACGCCCATCGTACTCCAAGGTACGCCCAACGTACTACCTTCTTTGCTAGTACGCCCCGCGTACTCGGCTAAGCCTGAAAACCGCGTACACTTTGAGTACGCCCCGCGTACACTTTGTGTACACCCAATGTGTACAATCAATACTACCAAGCATCCCTGGAAAACTATGTTTAGCTTGATGCGCGACATACAACTGTTCGGCATCACTTTTAGTCGGATGTCGCAAGTATATGTCACGGTAAAGCTCAATAACATACTCACAGAAAAGATATGTACACTCTCGACCCGTCCTCTCAGACATTTTCAGATACTCATCTGATGCGTTGCAGTTATACCATATCCCAACTGTCTAAGAGCGGCCGTATATTTTTGTATTGTAGTAAAACCGCGTCTACCTCTAGCATCCCATCGTAATTGGAAATACTCATAATTACATTCCAAATCTCTAGCTATACTTAAAAATAAAGTTCCACTAATACGAAAACGATCTTCGAATTTCGCTAGGTCGTATAAACTATCAGGGGCAAAATAATCACGTACTAAAAGTTCATGTGCCGCCTCTCGATCCCGGTTGATCCATTTTCTATGTTTCTTCTCACGGTGTGAACTTTCGCCTCTCTCATGAATCACGTCTTGTGCCGCAGACAATAGTGTGTGCAAAACCAAATCATCATCAGAACCGCTATCCATTTTTTGTTGAATGTGTGTGTTTGATTTGAGAGAATTTTTGTGTTTGTTTTAAAAAAAATTGTGTCAAAATAGATATATATATAGAGAGAAATTGAGTGGTAGGTGTAATAATTAATTAAGTATTTTTTTTATGGAGTATGCAAGCCAACGGTCAAAAAAGAAATCACCCAATCAAATCGCGTGTCTTCTCCCGTCTCCGGCTCCACGCAACAAACAACCCACCGGAAGGTGGGGCGGTGTTCACGCGTAAAGGGGGCTGACACATCAGCTCCCACGCGTCCTTTCCCCACCACTCTGGGCAACCTAATTGCATATTGGTAGAATCGCCGGTGAAGGGCACCTGTCGACTTCCAGAGATTCCAAGACGTGGGGCCGGAAGGACCAAACTGTCAATATGTCCAAAGTAATGTGCTAAAATTCTTAAGTAAGAAATTACT